GGGGGGAGGGATGAACCAGAGTAAGAGTATTTTCAGTGCTTTCCTGAACCCAAGGAGGATTAACTGTTAATAGGCATGATCTAATTTGCCCCTGGTATTCTCTTTTGATCTTGTCAACACCATTTGTTTATTTACTTATTTTTTTAAAATACATTTTTATTAATTTCAGAGAGGTAGGCAGAGGGAGAGAGACATAGGAACATCAATGATGAGACAGAATCATTGATTTGCTGCCTCATGCACGCTCCCCATTGGGGATGGAGCCCACAACCCTGATGTTGGCCCTGACGGGAATCCAAGCAGTGACCTCTTAGTTCATAGGTCTACACTTAACCGCTGAGCCACGCCGGCCAGGCATTTACTTATTTTTTTAAAAATCTCTAGGGTTGAGCCCTATCCGGTTTAGTTCAGTGAGCGGGGACCGAGGTCACGAGGAGAGGTCACTGTTATCAAAACGCTCCTGGTCGTACACTTCAGCCACCACCTTGTGGCCGACGAACCAGCGCCCATTGAGGACCTGGATGGCCCTGTGAGTCTCGGAGGCCATGGAGAACTCCACGAAGATCTTGACGATGATCTCGGCGTCCTCCTCCTGCCCTGCTTCTCCTGGTGGATGATGATGTGGTTGATGGCCCCGAACTTGCCGCACTCCTCGGTCACCTCCTCCTCCAGGTCGTCGTCGATGTCCTTGGGGTCCACCATGTTGCGCAGAACCATCACTGTGGACAGCAGCAGACGGCTCTTCTCCATTCTGAAACACCAGAAGGGAAAGCTGAATCTCCCACAAGGATCTCTCTACACAGCGCGGCACAGGACTCAAAAGTGAGTTTTAGGACAGTTTCATCCATTAATTTTACTTACATTTTCTTTTTCTTTTTTTGATGTATGCCCAAGAGAGATAAATTTGATAAAAATCAAGAGATCTTTCAATACATTTAAATATCCTTAGTAATAAGAAAGCAATGTGTCATAGTTTAATTAGCAGTTTCTGTTCTTTCCTTGTGGTCTATACAATGATAGTCTTAGAACCAGTGGCATCTTAGATGAGATAAAATACAAAAGAGTTCCTCTAATCTTTTAGAATTATCCTTTGGTTCCTGATAAATGAATGAGATATCTAAATTCCTTCTCAGTGGACTTGGATCCTCACCTGCAAAGAAACCAGAACTAGATGGAGTCAGAGAGATCAAGCATTTCACTCTGTTACTACAAAGTGTTCCTCACTTTCCCAAAATATTCCAATTTTGGAACATTGTTTCAAGTCTTGTGGAAACTCTACTCTTGGCCTATAGTTCTCAGCAAGACCTGAATAAAATTCTTCCTAAAAATTTCAAAGATTCAAGCTCTTTTTGTTGACAGAGTAAATTTAAGGAAAATTTCCATAAACTGCTATATAGCTCATCTTCAGCTACCATCTCATTTGTCAGAACTTAATCAATGATCAAATAGCAACATGGTAGCTGGGAAATGTAGTCTTTATTCCAGGTATTTATTTGCCAGCTGATAACTGGAGATTTTAATTCGGAGAAAACAGATAATGGAAAGACAATCAGCAACTGTCATCAAGACAATTCTGGCCCGGTCAGAGTGGCTCAGTTGGTTGAGTGTCATCCCATGAACCGAAAGGTCACTGGTTTGATTCTTGGTCAAGGATATGCCCGGAGTTTCGGGCTCAATCCCCAGTAAGGGGCATGCAGGAGACAGCTGATCAATGATTCTCTCTCATCATTGATGTTTGTATCTCTCCCTCCTTCTCCTTTCCTTTTTCTAAAAATCAATAAAAACAAATTTTTAAAAAAACGAGACACAGTCCTGGATTTCTAGGCAGAAAAGGGAAGGGAATACCTGTAGGAATGTATAACATAATTCACACTGGGCAAAGCTCTCCAGAGATGGGGGCTCTGGGCCGACACTCTAGCCCAGGGGTGGGGAAACTTTTTGACTCGAGGGCCACAATGGGTTCTTAAACTGGACCGGAGGGCCGGAACAAAAGCATGGATGGAGTGTTTGTGGGAACTAATACATGTTAACACTGCTGCTGGTGAAGGAGCGGAGGGGAGAGCAAGAGAACCCTCCGCTCTTTTGGCTCCGCGGGCCGATAGAACAGCCAAACCGGCAGGGTCTGGCCCGAGGGCTGTAGTTTGCCCATGGCTGTGTCTCTAACCCCTGGGCCAAGCCAGTTAGGGCTAAACTGAATTTTTTTTTTAAATGTATTTTCATTGACTTCAGAGAGGAAGGGAGAGGGAGAGAGAGACAGAAACATCAATGATGAGAATCACTGATCGGCTGCCCCCTGCAGGACCTCCACTGGGGACCGAGCCCGAAACCTGGGCACATGCCCAGACCAGGAATCGAACCGGTGACCTCCCGGTTCCTGGGTGGACGCTCAACCCCTGAGCTACACCCGGCTGGGCTGAACTGAATTTTTAAGGAAGAGTCGAGCTTATTTAGGCAAAGGGTGTGGTGGTGGCGGCGTGATGGTGGTGAGGGAGTTTCTAGATGGGAAGTAGTGCCTTTCCAGAGGCTTGAAAGAGCAAAGAAATTACTAGCACTTCAGTGTGTTAGCAACATATATTTAGAGATCAGGAATATCAAAAGATGAAGTTGGAAAAGTTAGCAGGGGTCAGGTCATGCTAAGTCTTCTCTACTCTACATAATGATTACTTAAATGATAAAATATTTTTAAAAATTTCTTCCCACTTAAGCTGTCCCTTAAATGGGTTTGTGAAACTCCTAAACATTGATATTTAAGGAAATCAGTTATATTTGTAGAGCATCTTATTTTTCACAGCACAATCATAAATAGTGCTCAATTCTTCTAAGATGACCAGTCTTCTCAGATTCTAGCAACAAAAGAATTCAACTAGGTAAAAATGCACCTTATTCGCCTGCTTACAAGATTCATAAAGATTCACTCCTGCCCCTCTCCTCTGCAAAAGTGTAAAAATCTCCCTGTGAACAATGCATCCATATTAGAGATAAAAAGCCAAAGGCTTAAGCAGGGGTCCTCAGATGCGACCCGCAGAAAACATTTATCCGGCCCGCCGGGTGTTTTTGCCGCCGCTGCCTGTCCTGCTTAGCAGCTGACTCGTCCCGGGCCCGCAGTGCACATGTGTGGAATGTCTGAGGGACAGTGAACTGGCCTGGCCCCCTGTTTAAAAAGTTTGAGGACCTCTGGCAAAAGGGGCGAGTTCAATAGCTCAGATTTGGAGGTGTAGTCACCAAGAATACAGTAATTTGATGTTGCCACTAGCAGAGAAAGACATCACAGAAAATATATAAACTTTTCATCCTATAAGCAATATTCTTACTTAAAACAAACAAAAATAATAAATCAGAGGCCTTAGAAATGATCGGAGGTAGAGTCTGACTCTGTGATAAAGGCTGTTTGAAAAAATGGCTATGATAAATCCTCTAACATCTCTTTGCAATGTGACTTTTCTATTCTTTTCATCAAAAGATGGAATTTATTTCCCTAGGCCTTGAATCTTTGCTGACCTTGTGACTTGTTTTGAGCAAGGCATGTGATAGAAGTGACTGTGTGTAACATTCAAGACTGTGATTGCTGTGAAAGTCTGTCTAGGCTTATGGAGGTTGAAAGGCTATAGTGGGGAGCGGGGGACCAGGGCATCCCAGCTAGCATCAACTGACAGCCATGAGCCCATCTAGGACCTTCTACCCTATGTTACCCGCTCCAGATGAATGCAGCTGCATGAATGAGCCCAACTGAAGCCAACAGAGGAACTCTCCACCCAATCCACAGAGCAAAAGAAATAATAGATCGTTGTTCTTTTAAGCCACTTGGTTTCAGAGTGGTTTGTTACGTAGAAATAGATAAATAAAATAGGTTCACTCCCTCAGTATTAAAAATACATCACCACTATAGCTTGTGACTCAAAACAATGAAGGAATTCCTATTACATCAATTTTAGGCTTAGTGTAATAGACTGAATAAATGAACTGGTAATAGGGAATCAGGACTTTCATTGCTGTCTGCTGAAAAAATATTGTTAGATATCTGCAAGAAAACTAGAGGAAATATTGAAAAACATGGCATTAGACCCCTCAAACAAACACATTTCTCACTTGGGAAATTCAATACAGTATTTAAAACATATAGAGAGTTTACTGATAAAGAACTGATAACAACAGATATATCAAAGATTAGCATTGTGGCACTCTAGATTTATGAGTAGAAATTCCAGGTACTTCTGTAGGTAAGAATAAGAATGACTCAAAAGATGCCCCTTGACACTTGAAGATACAATCCTTAGGTTCTGTGGTGTGCTAGTCCAAGGTGGCCCCTAGTGATTCTCATTTCCTGGTATTCACTCTCTTGGGAAATATTCTCCCACATTAAATTATGGCTGGTCTGTGTAAAATATGGCAGAAATGATGGTGTGAGACTTCTGAGGCTGGCTTATAAAAGACATTGCAGCTTCCACCTTGGTC